GGGACACAATAACTAAGCAATATCAGAGCATCCAGTAATATACTTGCTAAGCTGTAACTTACGTCGGATCCTCAAGACGACAGCCACATACCAGGAACCACACAAGGACGACAGTAACACAGTAAATACGACGAAGAAGCAAACAAACGCCATAGCACCCACAAACCACCCACATTTATATAATGTAGAAGAAAGCAAACAAAATTGTAGCAACATTGAAATAAGAATCTAACTAAAGAAACCACTCATCAGTTTATGTGCAATCTCGTCATCATCTTGAGAAGGAAATAGCTATCTGGCAGTAATAGTTATGATTTATCTCGAGTTCGGGTACCAGCCAAGACATCCATTAGCAGATCAAAGATCTGATAATTTGACAAAAATATGCCAAGAAGGGAGACAATTTAGAACATCTGAAACATATTCTGAGAAAAAGGAGAAGGTTGACAGCCACACCAGTGCAACAAAAGACAAGCGAAAGGCCGACTGCTTGGGAAGCAGTTTATTATTACTAGCATACATAAGCGAACAAAAGCACTATAATTAACAATGACTTGATAGGTAGATCTAGATAAGATTTATCTTTCGTTTTCATGTTTCGTACTTATCAGTTAGCTTAAAGAAGGTAATACAATGGTATGACTTAGAACGTAAATATTGATTTTTCATATTAATAACAAAAAGTTTTCAATACTTCAACAATTCCCAATTGTCTACAAAAGGTCTTACTTTCTTAGGATCACATTTTACTGTGACACTGCAGGAAGATGAAAGAGAAATTTTGCCAAGTGGAATTCTTGCAAGCTCCAAGCTACGTACTGCACACGTTTCATCACAGCAACAAAACAAAAACACGTGATTTCAAAGTAACAGAGAAAAAAGAAAAGTTAAAGAGAAATTATGCAACGCATTCACAAACGTGTAAATCATAAAAAGAAAAATATGTACTTACGACATTGTTCACGCCAACAGGACGGACGTCTCAGGTCCTTCCTGCAATAACTGCAGCCGGTCAAGTCTTTCGATGAGAGGCGAAAAGTCGACGGTTCGAAACTCGTGGGTGGTGCCCCAACGCTTTCGAAAAAAAAAGTCTCCAACACACACACACCAACACAAATCTCGCGAAAGCACACGAATGAGATAGTCAAAAGTTGTGTGTGGCTGAAATCCTCAGAAAAATACCAGAAAAGGCACCTTCTCGTTCCTCGTAGTGGTCAGTCGTGTCCAGTGGTCAAAACCATCAGACCACGGCCACACAAAAACTGAGGAAGAAACAGAAAAGGTGTCACGTGCGTTAAAGAATGTCCGGTTTTGAAAATATTTGGAGCACGGAACGAGAGACCAATGACGCACCAGCGATAAGCCCTGTCCATAGAACTTCTAAACATCTGTGCAAGTTCCCACGACTTGTAAGAATGATAAAAGTTACTCGCTCTTTAAATAGACTGTCATCAAATATCTTTGATTTCTTAGCAATAGTAAAAACAAAACAAAACAAAACTAACGAACTCAAAATAGCCCAGAAACAACAACAAAAAAGAAGAAAGAAAGAAAGAAGATTTCAAAAAGCAACACAAAATAAACGACAACAAAACAAACCCGGCAATACCTGCATTCAGTGTTACTATCCAAACCAAACGTCTGCAAGCGAGGATGAATAAGGAAGGGCCACCGCATGAAAAATACTTTTTTTCCCCCCAAAGACAGAAGAACTTTCAAGTGATTTCACAACACCGTATCAAAAGACAGGAGGACACACAGCTGCCTGGTTTTCTCTACACAGACTGATGAAACACTGGTCTAAATATATTTATTATCCAGGCGTCACACACCTTACAAAAAAAGGAGGAAAGAAAATAGATAATTGATCATTAGAAAAAACGTTGAAAAAAACCAAAACAACCGAAAACAAAAACCACGCACGCGGACGAATAATTTCTGACGACGTAACGTAGCCTGCGCCGCTCACCGAAAGCAAAATCGTCCAATCACATGCGAGATCTGGCGGCCTCACAAAAGCTGTCAATGAAACAAGGGTGAGTACTGTTCGTTCTCACGCTCCACGCACGTTCGCAGAGGTTGGAGCAACAGGCGATCCGGACCGCTCTTGCCCCCCATCACCCCCACCTCACCCCCAACCCCCTTTCTTTTCTCTCCGCTTTACTTAATTTCTCTACCCACCTTCTTGTTCT